CGCACGTTCAATTCTCTCCCGTTGGAGCTGGACTGCATTTTATGATACAGCCTGTACGCAGCGTGTGCGACACGCGTCGATTCGTGGATCACATCCGGGGAAAATGTCGTTCACCGGGACTACCAGTCTGTGGAGTTGAACGAAAATCGACGAAAAATCGAGGCTAGCGTTAGAGCTAGTGGAAAAACAGAGGTCTGCGGACAGAGGGCGGGAAAACGACGTCGGATTGAAGTTAGCGTAAGAGAAGAAGAGAGAGAGGGAGAGATACAACCGTGGGGTAGAGCGTATTCAATGCTGACTTTCAATCCGTGCTTCCTTGAATTATGGAAGTTAACATCCGCGACCTGGGAAGAAAAGCTGTTGAATTATTATCCGGTTCCCCTTCGACGGGAGGAAGGAACGTACGAGTGGTTCGCTTTTCATGCGAGAATACCGAGGGCCCTCGTACGCTCCTGGATATTCATTGATTCTCTTTAACACTAGAACAACCTAACCCGTTAAAATGACGGATTTCGGATTTAGCTGGAATTACGGGGATTATTAAGACGCTTTCAAGGAGATTTCCCGGCGAACAATCTAATTTACTCGAAATACACCGGAACCCCTGAAAATGATTTAAGAATTTCACGATTCGTAAAAATTTATTTATGAAATTGTACATTCAGAATGTTCGCGGAATCCATCTACGTTAAAAAATATGCAGTTTCATTAAAAAGAAAAGAGTGCATTTTGCATTTATGGAAAGAAATTAAACAGTAAGAATGTAGACCTGAGTCGGACGCGACTCTGCTATTTTTCAGATTAAGATTTGAATACGCGTTTAATGTTTTCGTTCGTTAATTATTCCTTATTGTCAGGAGGGCTCCAAACCTCTCATAAAAGCGGAGAATTTGGAGTTTCTTCGTGCATCTCAATAGCAATTGACGTATCATAAACCCACGCGAGCTGAGGCACATGCGAGCTAGCGAGCGGTACCGTTACCCTGGGTTTTTCCCAAAAGCTCAGGTGACGCGTACCTCACCCAGAACACCCCTTCCCTAAGGGTGAGCGGTTGGCGTCGGGCGTCGACCAAGGCCCTAACTTGATTGGGAGTTTTGGCCCCCCACCCAAATCTCACCCCCGTCAAGGGACCCAAATGGACGGACAAAAACCGTATAAAGGGACTGGGGTGACAGACAAAGAGGACATTAGTGAAACATAGAATCTGAACTCTGGTACGAACGATTACACGAATTTTGCTAAACAAAGAGTTATTTGCTATATAATCAGGCTTCGTGAACATTGTGGGAGCCAACACCGAGTCAAAGTACTTTCTGACACGAACGTTAATTGTTCCAGCATTAACTGCCACGACCGCCGACAGGATGATGTCTCGTCTGTTCAATCATTTCCCGCGACACAGCTTTCGTTGTACGTTAGGGGAGGTTAGCGGGATTCGTGGTAATGGAGAATTCATGGCGGAGTATGGTTGCGAGTAGGGAAGTCGGTAGGATTGCTAGAGAGGTCTGTCGGTTAAAGTTGCACGGTCAGGGTTATCGCGTAGGCTCCTTTCAACGAATGACCGGCTATTGTAATTTTTGTAGTAGCCGGAGAATTATCCCTTAAAGGGAGTTTCTGTTTGTACAGCGTACAACCGAGGAACAAGGTTATTTCTGTAGAATTCTTGGGGTGAAGAAGTTGGTAATAGGATTTTGAGAGCGAGTTTGTGTTATTTCGCGAAGTTCAATCTTTCCTGTCTGGATATGAGTTTTGAGAGGAGAGGAATAAGAGAGAAGGTGCATATACTTCCGTGTACAGTGTTGAATAAAATATCTGTCGAGGTACGCTTTCAGCGAATCTATTGATTAAGTAATAGCGTTATATCTGAAGAATATTCCCGGCGATTTTTCCATAGCCTTCTTTCTCCAAGCAGCAGAAATCCGTTCGTAAGAAATGCATTTTTTCAAGTTTCAAATTGATCGCCCAACTACAGTCCGTTCAACGAGACGAGTCACTAAGTAAAAACAAACAACTCCCTCGCTTTTCACGTGATCGGCTCTGCGACTATGGTCATTGGCTGTCACATGTTACAACTCAGGGCCAAGTTATGGTGGTCCGAGGGGTCTTGCAGGCAGAAACCTTAATGATTTCCAAATGTGTATTTTATGACTTCAGGTACTTTTCAGTGGTAAGCAAAAAATGTATTGATCACGTGATAACCGATTTTGGCAATTAGATGGTATAATTGAATCAGCAATAGAACCATTTATTATAAATTTAAATGATTCCGACGATAGTTCAGTATCAAATACCAGTTGTGAGAGCAACATAGAATAAAGAAATAATAATTACACGGAACTTCTCTTGTACTTTCATTCATCCTGTTATTTAGGTATATTTATATAACAAGTAACTCCATACCATAGTCAAAGAATTTTAATTTAAAAAAAAAAGCTTATCCTACGATGCGATATGGGGATCCGTAAGTCGTTCACGTGCTCGTGTTTATACTTGGTGACTCGTCTCGTTGAATGGAGTGTATAGTAGTTTTTTAGAAAAAATAAAATCTTGAAGGTTTTCTGTGCTCCTTTATCAAGGTATTCTGACCCTTTGGACTCCTTCGTCGAGTGTGACTCGATATCAGTCTTTTTCACAGGTACGAATGAAGTAATTTTTAAATTGCCAGTTTAAATATGTATTATATTTTGCAATATTTTTTTGCAGTAGGTACACATATATGTATGACCCTTGATGCTATTTTCAATATAATTAGTAAAAAAAATTGTTTAAATTAGTTTCTATCAACCAAATGTCTTTTCAAGTGCATTTTAAATAAACTTCTTAAAATAATAGGGAGTTTTTGAAAAAACAATTTTTTTTTAAATTTGGAGTTTAAAGGGTGAACCCTTTGGAGACGAAGGACTACATATCATATTGAGATACTGATTTTTTGCGAACGTATAACCAGGTCACTATTCTAATGTTCTTTTTCCAAGTTAAATAATTTCAAAATTCTATTTCCCTGAAATAATAAGTTAAGTATATGAGTTTATGGCAAAGTCAGCTATTTTTATTGCTTAAAAATATGTAGATTATTGATTCATAGTGTTTCGTGAACGCATACGTGAGTTTATCGTCCCGAAAGGGTTAAATGTTGCTTAAATTTATTCTTACTCCGAGTCTGTTAAGTGTCCAATAACTAAACCACCTCCCGAAATAAATTTCCACGGAACGGTGTCGTAAATTTTCCTCAAATCACATTTGCACGTGCACCGAATTTACGAGTCTTGAAAAAGAATATTTCAACCGTGCGGTATGATACCTTGGAAGAAACGAACGTTGTACATTATCGTACACTATGTTTCCGCGGAATCCTGTTAAAATTGCGTGGAAAACGAACAGAGCGTGGACGGACGGCGACGAATATTTCTTAATTCACTTGCATCGACCTCGATTTATTTTCATCGGAGGCCGTCGGCGCCCATAGCCTCGATGTACATGAGAACCCGGCATAAATCACTTCTGGCCAAGCGTTCGCCGCAATTCACGTCATCACGATGACGGAACACCGTGAACATTCTCTCTCTTTCTCTCTGTGATGCGAATATTTCCCACGCGCGTTCGTTTCCTCCCGTCGAGGAAGATCCCCTGGAAATATTGCGCGAATTCTTGAAATTTCCCGCGCGGAGTATCTCCGGCCGACGGGGATGTTTCTTCGATAATAACGCCGTTCGACGATCGTGAAATATTTTAAATACAGTAGACTACCTCTTATCCGGCCACGCTTTTAATCGGTTTCCGCTATTTTCGTTGGGAGTCCCTGCAAGAAAATAATTGACACATTCCGTGTTAGGTGTATAGCTCGATCGTGATGCACAGTGTTTATCGTGAAGGAAACTTAATTTTACCTTTGGACTTAAATTTTGGAGTGAAATAAAGTAAAAACGCCGAAAGTGTAAAGGATTTAATATTCGATCTTTTTTTCTTTGTCACTTTTCAAGGTTTTATCCGAAATTTAATGTTGCGTCTGTCACTTAACGTGGCAAACGACTTTAAGGACGAATGCAGTGCACTCTGTAATGGTTCTGTAATTTCTTGACGAAGATTCACATTTTATATTTTATACGGAAATTATGTAAATAATATTTGAGGTATATTTTCGTTTATACGGCCAGAAGTCTTAGCGGCAAGTTAAGAGGAAGTCTACTGTATCCCTGAAATTTCTACCCTCGATGGCTACGCGACGACGGCGAGTTTTCCCGTCCATTATGGCTTGTATAAATTATTCCGTGTATTCTATAGTGTCTGTTCTTAAATGGTTTAGATAGAATGGACCAAGGGTATATAGTAGTTCTCTATTTTTATACATTATCTTGAGAAAGTTCGTCCTATGAGGGATGATAGTTATTAATATTTCATGTACGGTTTCGTTCGTGAGTATTAGAACGATTACTTAATGGGAAGCAAATTTTATAGTAACTTGCTTGATAGAGGACTACATATTGTCTCAATTTTTTTCTTAAACTAAATCATATCATCGTGTCAACTATTTTCTTTTTTTGCTTAAAAATGTGTGAGATTGCTGGTTTCCTAATTTTTCGTGAACGTACATGAGAGTCCACCGTCCTCAAAGAGTTACGATCTAAAGAAAGAATTATTCACACTGCAATCTCGTAATATAATACATAAATCTAATTTAATTTATCTAAATCGTATAATACTTTTTATAGGAACGTAATGGGTGTCCTAATACTTACGAATGTAATATGAAACATAAATATAAGAACACTGACAGAGCAATCAGTGTAGAGTACAATAAAAAAATCTTACAAATTTTATTCTCCAATGTCAGAACTTTTTACCAATTATTCTACAATTTATTTCAGGAATAATTCAACCTACAAGTTCACTTTTTTCATAATCTCCGTAAAATCCACTTAAATGAAAATTACCATAATTCAATTACACTCGAACATCTCGCCGACAGAAAGATATAGAAGGGCCACTGTTTCTCGTTACAGGACCTGCAGTCGGAAATCGAGACCCATCGAGACGTTTACGCGTCCCTGAACGGCACTGGCCGGAAGCTGTTGAGCTCTCTGGCGAGTCAGGATGACGCGGTTATGCTACAGCGACGACTGGACGAGATGAACCAGCGATGGCATCATTTGAAGGCGAAGAGTATGGCGATAAGGTGAGTGACGATTGTCTTTTATCCAGCTTTTCATCTCCTCCCAGCCGCCTTTTCTCTTCTCCCTTTTGCAAGCTCGTCTGCGGTTCTCTTGTCTCCTTTCTTCCGGTTTCTCCCCTTTCTTCTTCGCTCCCCCTCCTTTTTTAATCCAATTAGCGTTCGCGGTGAGAACGATGACAGGTGGAACGGTGAAGTTTTCAGCTCCCGTGAGCGGTAACAGGTGCGCCGTTTCGAGACAGACGTTCCATTTTGCGTTGCGCGCGAGAATCTGGCCAGCGTGAAGTGGCTGTAGAGAGAAATTCCGCGGAAATCGCGGGATGGTGGAATGAATTACGCGGGGATAAGTTGAAACGTGACGGCCAAGAGATGAGCTTGGAAGGATGTGGAAAAAGAATTGGAAAAAAACTCGGAAGGGAGAAAATGAGAGAGAGAAAAAATGTAATTCGGTTGAAAAGGGGGGAAATGAATGATGTGTTAAAGGAGGGAGAGACGAAGTTAGGCGTGTAACGAGCAGAGAATGATGTGGAGGAAGGAACGATGCGTAGAAAAGAGCAGAGGATGAAATGTGAAAACGTGGGAAACGCCGAAGGAAGAGAATAGGGAAAATGAAACGTGGAGGGTGAGAAGCAAGAAGAGTAGAGCAGCTTTGATTTTAAAATATTGCCGGGATTTATCGAACACCCACGGCTATGAGATTCATCCGTTGTGTCGACTTCGTTCGACGGTCCGTTTGCCGCTTAGTTTTCCTTTAGGATTCATCTATTTTCCCGTCACGGTTCGCCAAGCCCTTCAAACGTAACGCGAACAATACTTTCCAATTTATATGCATTTCTTCCGTTAATATCTGTCTCGATCGTTCGGTACGCTTTTCTGGTAACAAAAATTGTCGGTCATAAGGGGTAGATCCGGGACAGATTCTACATATGCGAGATCAAATTTGCGCGACGATACATTCTTCTTCCTTTTCGTGTGAAAATTTTCGATCCTCTGCGACCAAACAACCGCGACTGCGTTTTTTTTTTTTGTTTTTACCTTTTTACCTTTCCATTCTCTGTGGTTTTGTTCCTTCGATCCTCTTTTTTCTCTGTCACTCGGCCAACCGTTCACTTCTGAAAGCTTGATTCAATTTGTGTGCACGCGCTCACCGATCGGTTTGTTAATCCATCGCGTATTTGAAAAAACGCACCAAACCGGTGTCAAGCTTTCCTCGCGGTAACGCGGGGCCAGACGACGGTCGATTTAGGAAAATCACGCGATGACTTTTCGACGGTACATCGGAAATTTCCAGCGAAACGCGTACGTTTCCGTTTTGTTCGCGACGAAAAAATAGAAATGATGGAAAAAAAAGATAACGTCGGGAGGAATACCATCAACGTCAGCGAGATCCATCGCGTGCCTTAATATCCTTCAATTTTTCCAGCTTGAACAAAGGTTGACGTTTAAACGTCCCGGTCAGTCAAAACGAAAGAAACGAAAAATACACGATAAACCTTTCAAATATTAAACGTCAAAGGACAGATTAAAATGTATACGTTAGCGGCGTAAAACAAGTATAAAATCCAGCAAACCATAAAATAAGATCTACGTTTCACTTCGCTTAGGCAGAGTATACATTGTCTGAACTCTCCGCCTTTCTTAGTCACACTGTACATTCCCTCGACTTTACGCTTCGCCTAGACATACTATACATTACCTCAACTTCACACTTTGTAGCTAACACGTACACGCCCTTAAGCGCGTATTTCCAAAACGCGATTACCACGATGAACGCTAAAAAAAAAAAAAAAAAAGAAGGAGAAACAAGATGAAACGAGCGAGAGAAACAACGAAGAACGGAGAATGTGTGTGGGTTAAAAAGGATTCCGAAATTTGCGTGAAACAACGAACCGAGAATTATTCTCGTGACAACATCGCCGGAACAATGGCTTTTGACGCGCGAACAATTCCAAAGATTTCCAAAGCCGGGGCGCCAGGTCAGCGGCCGTGCGCACGCAGTAGGTTAACTATGAAGCCGGAAATTCTCCGAGCGCCATTCTCCTTTGATAACGTAACAGTTATGCGTCGCGGTAATACGTAAGCAGAAATTGTCGCAGCGCGAAAGAGCCGAACCGCCAGGCGAGAACCGAGATCTTTGACGTCGGAGACCGGTCTGCTCGTCGATTCTTCTCCTCTCCCTATCGATGCACCGTGATGAAACCCTCGCGGGATTCCCCCGTGAAACTTTGAAGCCGCGAGGCTGCTTTGACATCGCCCCCGCCGCGCCGGAAACCCTCCGCTGTGATCACGTGAACTCGCGGCCTCCGCCGGCTGGATTATTAAGGAGCGTATCGATTTTGCCTTGCTACAGTGTTTGATGCGTGTCGTTGCGGTTATGGTTCGCGGCGTATTCTCGTTTTCAACGGCGGAAAGTTTTGGAAATTGTGGTTTAATTATCGGGTCGATATTTCGGCAGATTTGGAATCCTACCGGTGTGTTTCATTACACCAAGTGTTCCCCGAGTTCTTTTCTTCTCGACGTTTCTCAATTATGAAAAATTTGCACCGGGAAATTTTGGACGGCGAATATATTCTCCACCGGGCAGACTAACTACTCTCCCTGTTTCGCTGTTTACTCGCCGCACTCTGCTACCATTTTTTTTCTCTCCGAAAAAAGAAGGAGTGAGAAGAACGTTCGCTAGTTTGTGAAAAATTACCGAGGCGGTGTTTCTTTTTTCCCACCCCTCCCGCGTATGCACCGTTGAAAAACTCCATTCATCTTTCAATTCTGGAGGAAAGATGAAAAAGGAGCGTTGCTAGTTTTCTTTGAAATTGGTCGATGAAAAATTACCATGGTGACCTGAAACGCGCAACTGAAGGTTAGAGAGTGAGAGAGGGGGAGATGGAGCGTGGAAAAAAATTCTAAAGTCAATATTCATTTATTATTCCCGTTTTCGCTTAATCAATTTCCCCATTTTTATCGTTTACAAAGGATACGCCGCGGGGCAAGAGAACGCGAAAATCTGATTTGAATACAGCGACGCCCTTCTACGCCTGCTGCTTTCCTTTGCCGCGCTTCGATTTGCATCGGTGCGGTTTATTATAAATCCTCGGTTGAGAATTTTCCGCGAGGAAAGGAAAGTTTGCAAATCTGCCGCAAGAACAAGTTTCGTCCACCGAGTTTCCGCGAGGAAACCGTCTTCGGCGTCGATCGTCGTTGAGCGTATCGTGTACGCTCACGGATTACCCCCGCAGCCCATATTGAAATCTTTATCCGTGGAAATTGCGAATCCCTGTTCCTCTCGTGTGCATCAGGTACACCGTGCACGAGTTCTTGTTGCGGCTCTTTCTTGGTGGAATGGTAAAAGAAAGTACGCGGCCATAGTCGAGACTGTAGAATCGCGGTTATGGAATTATAATGGTGACAGTTATCCAGATGTAAAAAAACTGGAGGGAATTATTTAATTACCGAACAGTTTACTGTAGGCAAGATTGAGGACTGAATTTCTAAGCTTGCGATAAATGTGTAGAATTATTATCATCTTAGAAAAAAATCATTTTAATTTAGGTGCACAATTAATTTAATGCCTTTTTTCATAAACTCTAATGTTTGTATTGAAAAGTCAAGCAGAATTTTAATGTTCGAAATCATTTTTATTATCTTAGATTACTTTTTTCCATTTATCGAATTTCTTGTTTGAAAAAATATGGCACTTTTGAGTAGATAAAATCGTTAAAATTTTGTGGAAAAGGCGCACCAAATTAACTTTTACACCTAATAACTTTCGTTTTAATTTATAAAACTGAGGATTATTAAATGCAATTAAACTATTAGGTCATCCCATAAGTTCGTGCCGAAAGCGAGAAATATTCTAATAAAAATCCAAGGAAATTCTATAGCGACCACATAATGGTCTTACCAAAAAAATAGGTGGAACGGGAAAGCGCTTACGTGTTATTATATCAAATTTAAAGGTTTGTTGGAAATATTGATCTAAATCATAAAATTTGTCACGAACTTATGGGATGACTTAATATAATATAATACATTAGTTTTTGTTACTTAATGCAGTATTAACCCTTTAACCTACAACAACGTGTCAGACTCGTGACAGGGATTCTGGTCAAGATATGACAAAAGTAGTTGTATTAGTAAGAAAAATTCATTGTAATCCTAACTTTCGTTTTAATTTCTAAAATTAAGGATTCCTAAATGTAATTAACCTGTAACAGATTAGTTCTTGTTACGTGGTACAGTACTAAAACGTTAAATGGCGGACGCTTGTACGCGTAGTCGGAAAAGAAATCATAGGTTAAGGGGTACGCGTAGTCGGAAAAGAAATCATAGGTTAAGGGGTTAAAATAATAAATACCTGACGCTCAGATGCACAGTCAGTAAAAGAATGGTAAATCAAAGGGTTAAAGAAGTGTCTCTTGATTTCCAATTTTCACCACCCAAAAAATCAAGAATTCATCTCTAAATATTTTAAATACTAACTTTATTTCAAGATTCCACTAAATCTTGCAATTCTCCCGCATTAATAACGCGTTAATAAAATATATTTCATGAATTCGAACTCTCGAACGATTTCCACGAATTCGATATCAGCACTCTGTATTCTTACACGGTGAAAACCGTTCTTTCCCGCGACGAAATTTCAGTGGAACAGTTTTCACGAGTGCGCATAATCAGATTCACTACAGTGAGAACTTGGCGGCAACGTTAATTCCAGACTTGGAACGTACGGTTCGCGGTAAACTTCCATCCAGCGGTGGGAACTATGCGAATACGCGACGTGCTCTCTCCGAAATTTTCGTCGGAAGTTAAACGCTTTGACGTTGGCCAGCCGAAGGGAAATTTCCCGATGCGTGGAGACAGAAACGGAGAAAGTTGTCTCTTCTTGTCCCGTGATATATCTCCACGTTTCAATCTCGCGCCGTGCGCGAGCTTTAATAAAGATCCTCGCTGCTATTTGGACAGCGGTAACCGAGGGTTCATTTTTGCTTATAGAGAACCGGCTGTCGCTT